TGCTAGTCTGTTCGATCTGTTCTTTGGGTTGATCGATCTTCTCTTGACAGTAGGGTTGATCGATCTGCTCTCTTTTAATCAGCATTCCTGCTCTGATACCATCTTGACAGTGTAGCCGGCCAGAGATAAGTGGAAGAGGAGAGAAGAGAAGAGAAGAAAAGAAGAGAAGAGAGGAGAGAAGAGAGAAGGTTTGCAATGTAACAGTACTGGCGGTGCCAATGTTTATTTTACTATATATAGGGCGACAAAAATAACAAGGGAAAGACCCTTGTGCCCCTGAGTACAATAACAGACATAACAGAAATAAAAAAACGAAATAAAAAACACTTTAATTAGCCAAACAGGCCCTAACATCTGCAACTAAGTTATTTTAACATTATTCCAACACTATCCAACTCTTGAATTTGGCGAATCAGATTTGATTTTTTCTCTTCAATTCTTCCAAAGTGATTCAAATTCCACTCCTTGATTTTCTCTTTTAAGTTTTGAAGCTTCCTATGGAACTCAATCCCAACCCATTCAACCTAGGACTCATCTTGTCCTCCTCCACTTGTTCCTTGATAGAGACAAATTGGCCAGTGATCCGAGGTTAACCTAGGCAGGACTTTACAAAAACTGAAAATTTACCAATCAATTCCTCCAAATACACCACTTTTTCTCCATTCCAAAGGGTAATTATACCCCTTGAAGCACCCCAAGAGGGGGCCTGAACCCTCTTGGGGACCAACTTGAGAACCTAGTGGACCTATTTTCATTTGAGTGGTCAGCCCACCACTAGTGCTGCTCACATGACTCCTTATCGATCGCGTGGCAGATCCATTTCCAAGTTGGCTAACAATGACTCAAAGTGCTCAACACTAGGATCTAAAACTTGGCCCACCCCTCCCACTTACTTTTCTTGTATGCAACCATATGCCCCCTCATAGGTGTAATGATTCCTACCCTGACTCACCAACTGTGTAAAAATTTTTTTTTTTTTTGAGATATATCATTTGTGCAAAATATATAAACCCGGCCATCTGATTTTCATTGCACTGCTGAGATGAGTTAATCTTGCTGGCATGTGATGCATCTTCTTCTCCCCACCCTGCTTTCCAGTTCATATTGGTATAAGTTCCTCTACCCTTTACTTCCTCCTCCCAAACGGGCATGTGGCCTTTCAAGTACCATGTCACTATCTTACTCCTTGCCCCCTCCTTTCAACAGCTCTTCTTTGACAGAGGTAACTATCCAGACATTGAAGGATAGACCATTTGACTGCACCTTCACCAATCTTCATATTAATTTTGGTTTAGATCCAACAATCTTAATAATCACTGTTCAGGGATTGCTCATGTCAAAGGACTCTAGCACACCTCCACACAACAAAGCAAAGTTTTCAAGAGTCCCTTCCAACCACAAGTGGAACGGCAGACCTACTATCATTATTGTGATGTTGCCCCTTGCCACTAGAAAACAGGGGAGCCACCTTATCGGAGACCATCTAGAGATCAGGCATTGCCCAGCCCCTGTTTCTCTCATGGTTGCTGCCATTTGCGAATCTAACTCGAACACGTCCAACATGGCTTTGTTCTTCCCAAATGGTGTGATCATTACAGCTCCTTTAATACCTAGGTTCACATGAACGTCATCTCTTATTTTGCCCCAGTTGCTAATTTCTTGCTTGGCTGTAATAAAATATTTGTGCCCCCATGCATTTTTTTTTTTGATCAATAACACTTTCATTAATTCATCAGTAGAAAATTTACAAGTGGAAGACAAACACACTTATCTTCCAAGAGTCACAAAGAACTTCAAGAAATGAAAAAAGAAAATACAAAGATACAAATACACTAACGTTACAGCTTAGCCCAAAACAAAGCATCCCTTCTGAATGGCTTAGCTGTTCAGGAATGGCTTAGCTGTTTCAGCATTGCAAGCCATCACCAAACTAGCTTTCTCTGTACCTTCTATTTCTGTTTTTGGTTTTTCCAACTCCTTTTGATTTACCTGTTGGCCAATATTAATAGTACGACCCTCTCAACTTCCAGCTTCCTCTGCTCAGGTACTCCTGGATCACAAGCAAGACTCCCAAACCGCTTCCCTTCTCCCTTCTGCAAAGCAGACTGGCTGTTTTTCTTTTTCAAAGTGTTCCTGTAGCTCTAGGAAAAAAACCTTTACTGTTTCTTCTTCTATCTACAATGTTCCTTCTTCCTTTTGTCACATGTGTTCACAATCACAAAATCTCTTTATGTAGATCACACCTTCAAAATCCTCTTTAAAACCACAGAGTCGCATTTCAAAACAGTTGCACTTCTCAACTCCCTTATCTTCAACACCAATGTTTCATTTATCGATGTCTATTTTATAACTATAATCTCAAAAAAATAAGAACATAAAAGTATTTTATAACACAACATACAAAACTGCTTGGTGATTAAGTGAGGCATGCCTCCAAGAGTGCCTTGTTGCCCAGGCATCACCTTGACAACTATGCCACTGATAAGATACGTATTAGCTGATACGGTCTGACACATGACGAAATTTTGAACCTTGGCCACAGGAATGAAGTGCTACATTCGCTAAATCTGATTTTTTCTCTCAGCACTTTCAGCCACATATACTACTCTCTCAACTGCATTAGCACAAGTAGGCCACCTTTTCAAATAATACCTCCTATGCATTTATACTTGGGTATCGGTGCCATGTCCAACCAGTGCTTCCTTGAGAGAAGAACAACTTTATATGGCATTGGCATAATGTTCCTTGGCTTTGGGTATGCCGCTTGCTAAGTATATTTGAGAGGAAGGAATTTCAAACAACTCCACAATATCTTCTCAGGGTGTTGTTGATAAAACCACATCATGGAACTTCTATTAGGATTGAGACACCAGTGTTACTCCAAGTTTTAAGATATATTAAGAATCTATAGGTTAGTAGTTTAAGGGCATTGCCAAAGGACCAGAATATGATATACTCAAAACAAGTTTTGCAGTTCACAGAGTGGTATAAGTTGACGAGATTTATTGGTAGCCATGAAGATTTAGATCAAATAATAGATGGAAGGATAGGGAATTAATGACTGTGTAAAGGGGTTTCCAATCTAAGAATTCAGAAAGAATATGTTAAGGGTGATAACCTTACTGTCCCATCTTTTGTTTTCTAGTTAACTTTACTTCCACTGGCCCAAGAAACCACCAACATGTTGGCAGAAATCTATGACATCCATCAGATTCCTGATTCCTAAAGAGGTGTGTACCATCAAACTAGCCAAATTTAGTTTAATATTCTACTTTTCTTGTGCTATTTATGAGATAGAAAACAAAACCTTAATCATTAATCCAGACTCCTATTCCATACCATGTTCAAACATTAAAAAAAAAAAGACATACAAGTTCCAGAATAATACAATTGTGTCAAATTTCTATGAATGGGAATTTTTGATAGTAAGATCCAAGTTACAAAAAGTGAATAAACATAAGTTGGCTAAACTAGCAAGAGTTATAGCATATGGTAAGACACGAATATTCAACATTGCAAGCAGAAAGTGGATGGTTTTATATGATGCTAAATGAAAAACCTTAGAGAACAAAATAAAAGAGAAGATGAAATGGAGGTAGCTATCTGACATAGTAACATAAGAATACTTAGCATACATGAAACTAAAGCCATTTGACATAACAACATCAAGTGGAGGAGCCACTTCATGCAGTAAGAAAGAATATGTTGCAAAATGGAAAGATTTAAAAGAAGAATTGATTACTTATAGTTGTTTGGCATAGATGGTGGGCTGAATCTACTACTTACTTTGGACAAATCCAATCACCTCTCTTCATTTCAGTATTTTGCCCAAGAGGCCTTGTGGTCTGCCTGTACCCATTTGAGAACTGCCGAGTAGTTGACCCAGAAAGGTCTGATTCTTGAACAGCTCCACTCAAATTAGCCAACTCTTTTAACAGATTACGGACAGATGATTCAACAACATGTCTATTATTGAGATTGTTCCCATCTGAACCAGCAAGAGGATTGCATGCATAGCTCAACAGAAACCGCATCAGGTCAACCATGTTTGCTCTCTCAATTTCCAACTCCTAAAATTTTACAGACTTCAGAAGCAGTTCAAACAACTTATCCTTATGTGTAATAATTAAGGACAACATAGAAACAGTTCAAGCTGAATAGGATTACAAAAAAAACCAAAACTCCTAAATTAGTAATACAATAATTCTCTGGTGTTATAAAATTAACCAAAAAGGTTCAGATGGGAAAGAGGGAAAACATGGAGCAGCAATGGTAAAAAGCACCTTTCTTTTCCTTTTACAGTTTACTTGTGGTTTCTTTTTTTACTCTCTTCTCAATCTTCTTTTCTGTGTATGGTTTCATGTATGTTTGCCTTGGGTGCCCCAGGAGGGGGGTCAGGATTGCAGGTTAGTGATGAAGAAAAGCTTCCAATGGTCCAACCACCCCCCCCCCAAAAAATAAAAAATAAAAAATAAAAAATAAAAAAAGTTAAAAATAGAAAAGGAACACCAATAATGCTGTCAATGGATCAGGCCAGTGTAGACCCAGTCCCAAGCTGGTAATCATGCCTAAACCAGACTCTATAGGGTGTGTAATAACAGACCCAGAACGAATCTGATTATTAACTGGGACTACTGAGTCTGACCTGATAAAATCCAAATACAAAGGATAGCTATATTTTTAACCTGTAATTTGACAATAAACTACTTGTCTGTTTTTTTTTTATCAGTAACAGAAAATTAATTCATTAAACTAGAGAAGAAATATACAAGAGGTTGTTAAAAAAAATCAAACCAAAAAAGCCATCCCACATTTACAAATGAACCCAAAACATGGATTGTCTCTGAATTCCTTGTTTAGCTAGGCCGTCTACCATGCTGTTTGCAGATCTTCTAATCCATCTTAATTGGATAAGCATATCTATAGAAAGTTGTTTGAAGCGCCTGAATTCATTCCTTAGCTGCCAAATTACCCCTTCCCCCTTTTTCAGCCAACCCACTACTATTTTTTAATCCCCTCCAATGATTAGTCTCTCAATTCCCATTTCTTTAGCCTTCTCCACCCCATAAACTGTTACCAATAATTCTGATCTCACCACATCACCTTGCTGAACTGAACCTGAATACAGCGCTAGGATGTTTCCATTTTCTTCTCTAATTAACCCACCAATAGCCAATGGGCTAGGATTACCCATACAACTACCATCAAAATTCAATTTCTTCCAACCAGCACATGGAGGTGTCCAGACCACTGTTATTCTTTGTTTTCTAGACAATGAAGCAGCAATTGAACCCCACGAGTTGAGAAAATCTTCAACTTTAAACTCTGCAAAGAGCTTTAAGGTTTTGACCCAATGATCCACCCTTAGGGTTATTACTTCTGATTACAGCTTCCTTACTTCTTTCCTTGTCTTCAAAGATTCTTCAATTCCTTTCTTCCCAACGTGTCCAAACCACTACTGCTCTAGTGCATCTCCCCAAAATCCTGCCTCTTCTTTTCAAACATGTAAAATTAGGTGAGCTAAATAGTCCCTCCAAGCTATCAGGGAGGCGCCATCTGCAACCAAAGAGAGAGGAAAACCACTCCAAAATAGAGAGAGCAAGAGGACAAGAAACTAAGAGGTGAAAAGCAGTCTCACCAAATAACTTACATAAGAAACACCAACTTAGGGACAAACACCAGTTTGTTTTTTTCCTCTGAAGCAAATTACAATTATTAATGGAGCCATGAAACACTTCCCAATAGAAAGCATTGATTTTAGGAGGAATGGAGCGAAACCATATTTCCTTCACAGCAAAAGAAGAAGAGTGGGGGGAGGCTACAAGAGAGTACATGAAGGACTTACATGAGTATGAGCCAGATTGATCAAGGGCCCACACTCTAGAATCTGAACCACTATCCCCCAGAACCACTGAGTTCAATAAGCTAAGCAAAGCAGTAATACTGGGAATTTCAGACTCTTTAAGGTTCCTAGTAAGGCCCAAGTTCCAATCCAGACCTGATTGGAAAGAGGAGCTAACAAATTCAGACACAGGTTTTCCTTTGAGGCTAGAGAAGTTCAAAGATAGACAGAAAGGCCTCAGTTAAAGGGGAATCCCCAATCCAAGTAACTTCCCAGAACCTTATTTGCTGACCCAAAGCCAAGTCATACCTGATATGAGTGAGGAACACAGGAAGAATGTCATGGATAGCCTTCCAAGGAGCAACCAAAGTAGCTCTGTTCAAGCAGCCCACCATCCCACCCATTGTTTGATAGTCCATGGATACTTGTTATAACTCTATTCCACAACTTCTCATTTTTCTCCAAAATCTCCAAAGCCATTTACCCAACAAAGTTGTATTCTTCAACCTTATGGGGACCCAAATCCTAATAGTTAGAGTCGGCTGTAGAGGGGCAGTGTGGTCATTTTACTTTATGTTAAAGGTGTGATGTAAAATCTGTTATATCCTGGTTAAGTGATGTGTCCCAAACATAAATAAGGGCACAATAGTCTTTATGCTTGAGATTAGAAATCTATAAATAATAACCTGGCCGACTAGAGAGAAATAGTTCTCTAGTTTGAACAAGTCTTTACTTCTATTCCTTCTCTTCTCTTCTCTTTGTTCTAATCTTTCACTCTTCTTTCTATTTCTTCATTACTCTAAAACTAAAACCTATACAGAACTGAATTTTATCACTAATAAAATATTAATAAATTAATAATAACAAACAAAGATATTAATTATTAAATATAATAATAAAAAGTATAAATAAAAAAAATAATACAATATAATTAAAGTAATAACAAAATAATAATAATAATAACAAAACATTATTAATTAAATAATAAAATATAATGAATGTAATAATAAGAAAATAATAATAATAATAGTATATTAATCATTAAATTATTAATAAAACATTCATCAACTCATAATAGTATAATAAATTACTAATAAATTAATAATAAAAAGCAAACATATTATTTATCTAATAATAATTAAGTACAAATAAAATATTAATATATTATAATTATAGTAATAATAAAATACTAACATATTATTTATTAAATAATAAATAAAAATAATAGAACACTAATAAGCTAATAAGAAAATAATAAATTATTAATAAAATATAATATAAAAATACTATTAAAGTACTAATAATAATAATAACATATTAATAAAAATATTCATAAACTAATGATAAATACTAAGATATTAATTATTAATTACTAATAAAATAATAAAAAGCAAAATTATTATTTATTAAACAATAATAATAATTAAGTAGAAAATGAATGTTAACATAATATCATTAAAGTAATAATAAAAAACTATAATCAATTAATTTTAAAATAATAAACAAAAATAATATAAATTAATAAGCTAATAAGAAAATAATAATAAAATATAATAAAATAATAAATTTTTAATAAAATATAGTAACAAAAATATTATTAATGTAATAACAAAAAATGATATATTAATAAAATATTTATACATTAATGATAAATACTAAGATATTAAGTGTTAAATAAATAACAACAAAATACTAATAAAATAATAATTATATATTCATAAAATATTAATAAAGTAACAATAAATTAATAAATAAGCTAATACAAAATTAAATAATTCAGTTGATTCTGATTCCAACTCCCAATGAACCAAATAGCAACAACCGGAATACGATTCAAATTCCAGATTGAACCAAACAAGCATCAAGAATAGGTCATTCTGGTTTCGATTCCAATTCCAATTCCGGTCATATTCGCAAACCAAACGGACTCTAATTGTTCTTTCTTCCCTTCCCCAGGCTCACATAGAAAATCTATCATAATCTTTTCAATTCTTCTAACCACTGCTTGGGGCATCCTAAAAACCGACATGTAGTACATTGGAAGGTTTGCTAGAGAGGACTTGATCAAAGTAATCCTCCCTCCCAACAAAATATAGTTCCTCTTCCAGCTTGCTAGCCTCTTCTCAAACCTTTCCACCATTGGGGTCCAAAAACTAGTCACTCTAGGGTTGCCACCTAAGGGTAAATCTAAGTCGTTCAGGGGCCAAATTCCTCTTTCACAACCCAAGGATTCTACCATTGCTCTTAGCATTATCTTCCAAATTGATACCAGCCAACAGACATTTAGACCAATTAATTTTCAAATTGGAAATCCTCTCTCAGAGTTTCACAACTAGCTTTAGATTTTCCATCCCCTCTCTGCAATCCCCATCATAGAAAACAAGAATGTCTTCTGCAAACTGCAAATGGGATACCAGAACTTTGTCTCTTCCTATTACCCAACCCTTAAATAACTGCAAATGGGATACCAAAGTAAAGAGAAATAGGGAGAGTGGATCGCCTTGTTTGAACCCTCGAAGTCCTTCAAAAAAGTCAACTACCAAGCCATTAACAATAATAGAATAGTGACTTGTTTGCAAACACCCTCCAATCCATTTACACCATAAATTCCCGAAACCACATCTCCTCATAATCTCCAACAAGAAACCCCAAACCACTATATAATAGGCTTTCTCCAAATCCAATTTGATTGTTACTCCCTTTTTTAACCTTTTTTGGGCTTTCGGGCATTCATTAGCAATTAAGATTTGGTCAATTATTTGTCCATCCTGAATGGAGGCCCCTTGAAAGTGGGAGATGAGAAAGGGCAGCACCTTTTTAAGCCTCAAAGATAAAACCTTGGCCACAAAGAAGGTGACATCCATCGAGACAAATCTCCTCCCTGAAACAGGATCATAGCAGCAATAGCCCTTTTGAATTTGTGCATAACCGAGAAAAATGCATTTGGAAGCCTTGGGGTCAAATTTGGAATGATGACGTCCAAGGAGCTGAACAAAACAGGTACAACCAAAGGTTTTAAGAGGAACAATAAACAACTCGTCTGGGTATAGAAGGGTAAACAGAGGCTTCATATCAAGAACCCGTGAAGGAACCCGATTAATGAGATACACGGCCGTGAGGATAGCATCACCCCAGAAACGGATAGGCACATTGGAGGTAAACATAATGCTTTTAGCCACCTCCAAAATGTGCCTATTCTTCCTCTCGGCAACCCCATTCTGCTGTGGT